GAGGTTGCCTGCCAATCATGCAAGCTAACTAAGGGCACACTACGCAGACAGCTCGCTCATTGCTTTCTAAAGACTGTCCCCTAGCACTCGCTGGTCCACTTGACTCCTTACCTTCTTACTAGCAGGCAGAAGCTCCTGGTGTATAGTCTGGGACAGAGAAAATCTGTATGTAGTGAGTGTAGAAGAAAGGGAACATGCCAACGTGTTAGAGAGACCAAAGTCAGCATTACCTTAACTATTTTCATTGGCAGCCAGTCCACACAAGCTCTGTTCCTATACAGCAATCTGAAGTTTCCATACTTAAGCAAGAGTATGTGAAAAGTAGTTAGGGTTGCCACCTTTCTTGGAAAAACATACCGGCCTAACTAATTGGCATAATTAATAATGTTTGGGTGACCTCACATGATGTAAATCACAAGGAGTGACATAAGAGAAAATGCTGTAAAATCACCAAAAAACTACTTAGTTTGATTCTGCTGTATAGATGATTGCTCCCAGTGTCTCCCTGTCTCCTAGTGTCTCAAGTCTCCCATTGTCCCAGTGTTCCCATGTCTCCCAGTGCCTGTGTTCCCATGTGTCGATTAACCCAGGTCTCAGTGTCCCTATGTATCAGTGTCTCAGTGTCCCATGTGCCCCATGTCTCCGAGTGTCCCCTACTGTCGTGTCTCCTAGTCTCCCAGTGACCCTATGTATTACAGTGTCTCAATGTCCCCATGTCTCCCTGTGTCCCCCCATATTCCCATGTGTCTATGTCCCCATGTCTCCCATGGTCCCCATGTCACTAGTAACATGAGGAGACCTGGAGACACGGGGAGACCGAGACACTAGGGACACTGGGAGACTAGGGGACACTGGCTAGGACATATGGGGACACTGGGAAAATAGGGGACACTAGCTGGGGGACATTGAGACATGGGGCACTGGGAGACACAGGGACACAGACACCAGGGTCAAAGACACTAGGGACACTGGCTGGGGGACTAGGGAACACTGGGAGACTAGGGGGCACTGGGACACATGGGGACACTGAGACACCAGGGACACTGACTGGGAGACATGGGGACAGTGTGTCCCCATAAGTGTCTGTGTCATAAAGTCTCCCAATCCCCCTTAGTATCTCAGTGTCCCCATGTCTCCCAGTGTCCCTAAGTGTCTGTCATAATGTCTCCCAATGTCCATTAGTGTCTCAGTGTCCCCATGTCTCCTTGCAGCCTTTCGCCCCATTCCTTACTTCCCTGAGCTGTAGGCTGTCTCTGCAGGGTGGGAGTTGCTCTCTGGACTCTCTGTAGCTGCTCCCCTGCAAATCAGTGAGTAGAGATAGGCAGGGAGGAACTTTCTATCCTTGCCTCTCTCCACACACAGCGACTCCTACTGGTTAGTGCTGGTATTGCATCGTAATCTCTGTTTATAGTGAGAAAAATACCAGCATTTGAATTGCCAGTATGACTGCAATATCGACACCGCCCAGGGAGCCTCAAATACTGGCTGTGCCAATAAAATAAAAGCCAGGTGGAAACCCTAAGTGTAATGTGTAAAAAAAAATAAAAAAAATAAAAAAAATATATATATATTTTTTTAAATTTAAAATCAATGGGCTTATTCCATGGGACTGGGCCTGGAGCTGCAGCTCCATCAGCCCCTATGTTAATCCGGCCCTGCTCAACATACACAAGCACACAAGAAGCCTTCAAACACGTACATGACCATCAGCAGCTTCCTCACACAAGCACAACACTATTTACAAACTCTATACCACCTGTGGTATCCCACTTAATGAAAAAAGTAAAAACTGTGAAAAATGTGTCGCTAAATTAATTGTGCTATTCAGAACAAATATTTTCCCCATGCAAGAGCATCTCCTCAAGAGGAAAGTTCAGTGTCAGTGGTGGAAACACTGAATAGCAGTACTGTACATTGTGCAGCACTGCACAAGGAAGCTTCTCTAGTAGCCATCCGAGGAGTGGCCAGTGGAGGTATCTCAACGCTGCCTTTTCTCTGAAATAAAAAACAATGTTTACTCTAAAGAGCCTGAAGGGAATGATTATACTCACAAGAACAAATACAATAAACTGTAGTTGTTCTGGTGACTATAGTGTCCATTTAAAGCGAACCTCTAATGGAGAAAATAACTTACCTTAAATCTTTTCCATAAACATTAAATACACCAAAGATCATAAGGATATAATGTAAAATATAAAGACTGACTCACTTTTCCTCCGTTCCAGCACTACTTAGTGGGTGTTACTCTTCACATAACACCTACCTCCTCTCCGCCTGCATTCCTCCTGCAGGCTTCTTTGATTTGCCCTGCTTGAGACGCATCCCCAAGCAGGGCAGATCTCGTCAGTGATGTTGTCTTGTGACTCCATTCCTATACTCCTTAGCCGGGACTAAAAGACCTGACTAGGGAGTTTTTTTATAGCAGCCACCGTGCATGAACTGTGGTTGCCATGAGAGGAGAGCAGAGGGACCTCCTGTGACATGTGCCCTTTAAAACTTACTTGCCACCTCAAAAGCATGTGACCATCATATTGTTATGGACTCATGGTCTATCATTGGCATGGCGTGACAATGCACGTTAACAATGGTATATAATTGTGTTTAGTCGGTGAGTATGAATACAGGTATAGGTAGGTGTTGTTTCTGTATGTGTTACTGCAGATATACATTAGTTCAGTGTATCAGTCTGTGTATGAATGCAAGGATGTACTTTCTTGGAGAAAGGTGAGGTGGTGTTTTTATGAATGTGGTGGCATATCATTTGTGAGCATGCTTGTATGAGGCTATTTGAACTCATGTCACTTTCATGCTCCCCATGTCACCCATGACTACACAGTCTCTAGTCTATATTCCATATGGTGCCACTGACGCCATCTATAGTGCCCTAGAGGGTGGCAATACAACTGACTGGCAGGGCAGGTGATATCCAATAATAATAATAATGGGCCTTTGATAAAAGATGCCACTCAAGGGTTGGAAGGAGATGCACCAATTGGCAGCTTGAGGGACATCATGCTGGCTGGCTGCCCCTTAGTGTAACTGCTATAACTGTCTGTACATGCAGTCCTTTTCTACTTTTGTTGTAGTATTGTGAAAGAACAGTGCTGTTTGCTCTTTCATAATGCTAGCAAAGCATTGAGAAATAATGGTTATGGTACTTAGAGTATCTCTTTACGTTTACTGTAAAAGGTTTGCTAATGGTTAGAACGACAATTTCTTTGGATTAGTGAGTTTAACCATTTAGTATAAGAGAGAGATTAAATTAAATACTAGGGGAAGTTAGTGTTTATGGTTAGAGGTTTAGGTTTACATAAGGGGTAAAGTTAGGTTTTAGGGTTAAAAGGGTGTTTAAGACAGGGGTTTTATGGTTAGTGAAGCATGGAAATTAACTATCTTAACACTGCCATACTATGAGAATCCATGTGTTTTGCAATACCTGGACTACGTATCACCAATACATATAATTCTCACACTTACTGATAGGTTTACAAATATTAGCCTTTTTCATGTGTGTTGTTGAAAGCGAAATTCAAAGCAGTTCTTCCCTAATTTGTAATGTAATGAGCAATATTGTGGCAATTTTCATACTTTTTTTTAAAGAATGAACTGAAATCCTTGGACACACGAAGAACCTAATTTGTCATGCAAGAGTGTTTTTTTTTTTTTTGTCTGAGACATAATAAAATATTAATTGTAACAATTGTACTATTGTACTCTATTACCCTGCAAAAAATATAATTCATCAACCTTTATCTATAACTAATAGGAGAGATTATTTTTGTCATAGAGAAGGGGAGACAGGTTTTTTTGCAAACCCCTGAGAAGCCATATGAAATGCTTCATTAGGAACTATATAGATTCACATTTTACCAAATGTGACTGTCTAATGTGAGTGTACCAGCTCATTAATCCAAAGGTCCAAACAGTGACAGCCCAAATTAACATCCATATATCAAGGTATGCAAGGTGCCATTAATACAGCTTGGTCAACTATAGAGAAAGAATCTGTGACAGTTTAATGTTTCCCAGGGCACTAATGAATAGAACTGCTGTCTAATGAGTGTCTATTTAGGTCGGTGAGGATCTTGAAAATCCTACTTCACTGACCGGAATGTATTTATACTTTGTACAAATTGCTTCCATTTTACCATCGTTTTGTCATTCAAAGGAAGGAAATATAACCCTATCATATCTAGACTGATAGATATATTTTTTTAAGATCAGCATGCCAGGGACTACAGGTTGAATAGGAGTATTTGTCTCCCAAAAAATCTAAGGACTTTCTAAGGTGATAGAAAAATGTCAAATCTCCAACTCTATAATATGTAGTCATCAAATGTGTATCTCCTCTAGGACTTGTAAGATACTTAATACTTCTCTATTCTTTCTGTTCCTTGACACTGCACCATATGATGCAATGTATTGGCAGGTCTAGTGTTGATTAACTAATAAAGCAGGGTAGAATTAATGTCTCTAACTTAACCAAGACTGACTAGTTATTGCCACCAGTACAGTTAGGAGCTTGCCATATTAAGCGGGGTTATGTATAAAAAGTGTATGTTCTGAAAAGTAGTGCAAACATGGAAAAGTGACAAACTCACCAATGCAATGTGCTTGCTGGTTTCCATGGTGACTGACCCACTTTTAGTGCTTTACACCACTTTTTAGAACATGATCCAAAATTATCCTGAAAAAGTTTTTGATGACCTCTGTTACAGGTTTAAAAAAAAAAAAAAATCAATCCCGTTGATAGTATTACTATCATTAAAGCATAATAACCATACAATTATAATATATTTCAAAACTAAATTTTATTAAAGACATAGAGGCTCCTTGTGACGGTAGTATAGGGTATCACCGTCAAGCATTCCCTTCTTCCCATAAAAGAAAATCACCCAATATTCCTCAAGTAGAAATATCCCTGGAATCGCCGAATAATCCACACATGAGCCAAAGCTTAATGCTGGAACAAGACTTTACTGGAAGTAACAACAACAGGTATTCAAGCTACAGTTTCTTTTATGCCCTGCTCCCATGCAGGGGAGGGACACACACGTTATCTACAGTAGCCAATAAAACAGGTTACAGCCCACACAAAATCCTCCCCTCTGCCTGTGATTCAATTATCTTATACAATAGAAGATGCAATTATCACAGGCAGGAAAAATACAGTTTTTACAGCATATTCATAACTTCTAAAATATACATCACATTCACATAAAAAGTATATATTCACAATCAATCCATTCAGAGAAACAACATATCAAAAAATGGCATGAATCAGACCAGGGGTTCAGAAGTTAGTAAAGTATCTTTTGGGGCCTGGCTGGCAGCATGGCTATCTGGCCCAAACCGGTTTTACAGAGCCCTCTATCCTGGAGACAATGGGGAAAATAATCCAATTATCCAGGGATAGAGGCAGACTCCATTGAGCACATGTTCCCAGTAAAACACAAAAGGATACAAAAATACATAACTCCTATCATACTGAATTGAACGGGTCAAATCTCCCAGGGTCCATAGTCAAGAGGCAGGCAAGCAGTCCTCTCCAGGCACAAGTGGCGAAGGGCACTTCGTCACAGTAATAAATCCATGAATAAAGTAGCAGGGAGGGAAAGTACCGAATGAATGGAGGGGAATTCTTCACACTCCTATTATGCTTTCTCTTTCCTTTAATTTCCTTCAGCAGCGAAGAGAGATGTATACAGAAGAGAAAAAATAACTTTGCATAGTAACAGTGCAACCAATCAGCACTCATCAACTAGTATATAAGGTGTAGCACTCCAACACTCTTCCTCTTTCTTTGCTGCTCCCTTATACCAACTAGGTACATTTGTTTCTCTCTATTCTGCTGCATTTGACACAGAGAACTGTTTTACTTTATTGGTATAATTTGTATGATTCCACGTTATGAGTAATTGTGTCTATGCTGCTATGGCTGTATTCTTTGTTGCTTATCACTGTGCTGTGCGGTTTGCATGCACAAGCAGCCGGCCCACTCTTACTGCCGCGCATGCGCAGTGCGCTCGCGGCGGCCATTTTCTTGGATCTAATGTCGCCCACCAGTGTCGGCGGCCATTTTGGTGCATCCATAAGAGCGGGAATCTCAGTGCGGTCCAGCAGTATAGTGGAACACGGCTCCTATGACTCTTGCACACTGTTTTAGTGCTTTTTGCGTGTATCTTTTTGCTTTAGGGTTATCTCCTCCTCCTCCTCCTCCAATAGTTGGGTGGCTGGATTAAGCAATCCTTACCACCTTTTTTCTTTTTTCTTCCTACCTCATTACCAGATATTTTTTGTTCCAACCTCTTAGTTGTTTATATTCCCCTCATTACCCTATAGGGTTGAATATGTATATCTATATTAGCATATACTTGATTTTTTTGCACGCGCTGTGGGGATTCGGTGGCTGCGACCTAACAATATACAATCCACTGGAGATGGGCCTATCGGCCACCCGCTGAATGTCATGGGAGATACCACCCCTGACCCCATAGATGAAGCCAATATGATGGCCTCAGAGGAATTCCAAAGCCTGTTAGATGTGACTATGACGAAATCCATCAACAAGGCCTTAACATCAGCCACGAAGGTCATGTCCTCCATGTTTACACAGTCCATAACTCAGGCTTTGATGCAAGGGTACCCTGCCACCCAGGCCCCTCCATAGCAAATCGCTGCTATTCTCAGTGCAGCCTTGCCGGGCCGCAAGGCCCTGAGTAAACGCAAGCATCATATTCCCCCTCCTAAAATCCATGAAATCCCTGGTTTAAATGACATGCCTCAGGCTGTCCAGGATGGCTTGCAACAACTGTGCAACAGAGCCACTAGTCAGGTAAAAGCAGACAGAAATTGGAAAAGTATGAGAGCCCAAGAGATCATGTCCGAATCGGACTATAGTTAGGAGGAGGACTCGGACGAGGCACTTTCAGACCCTTACGAGGATGAGGTTTCCGATGATAAGAACCTCATGGGGACGCAGTTTGTGCCTGCTTTGCCCCGTTCCACGTGTTTGACCCGGATGACTTACGTCATCCGCGCTCCACTGAGTGGGAACCACCGGAGCATGTTGCGCAGTACCTGGCGCTAAGAGTCCGCAAACCCCTCTCCCAGGAGGGCCGTAATAAACTGAGGGCAAAATTCCCCCGGCCCATTATCCTTGACATGGTGGCCAAGACTCTTGAAGTCAATCCACAGATTGTTAAATTTTTTATCAAAAAACATCTGTAAGCCGAAGAAAAGCCTAGACTACTCCTTACACAATTGCCAGGACAAGTTCCTAGACATGCTAGGCCCCATTACAAAACTCTACGAACTGCTGGAAACAGCACAAGTGGGAGAATCCCAGCTAGACTATGACGTGGCATTTGGATGGCTGTAAACACCCTGTGTGCATGGATGGCAATGCCAACTCAGCCATGTCCACTGAATGCAGGAAAGCTGTCATGCTCCAAATAAAGTCTAAATTGGTTAGCATGGCTACTAATGAGCCTGGAGTGGCCGCTAAGGGCCTGTTATTTGGTGAGTCCTTTGTCAAGGACCTCAGCTCTTACGTTAAAACCTTCACAGTGCTGGATAAAGTGCAGAGCTCCATTAAAAGAGTGTTTCACCAAAAAGTTTTTGGTGGGGCTGGCAAAGGTAGGAGCCTTCTATACGGCCACAACCCCCGGGGTTTTACCAGAACGGGCAGAGACTCCTTTCATACACTCAAATCGGTGCCAGAATGCACCTATACCCCATTCTTTCCAACTAGAGGACGTCCTTGGAATGCAAGCAGCGGTCGAGGAATGACCCCAGGAAAACATTCTTATGGTGAGTACTGTGTATCTCCATTTTTCTCATGTAAAGGTGGGGGGAAGACTAGCTCTATTTCACCAAGCTTGATCTATGATTACGTCCGACACATGGATACTACACTTAACCGCTTTACCCATACAGGCCACCCTGCCTCGGTTGCCCATGATGTCTACAGAGCATCATAACCTAATTGTAACGGAACCGCTGGCATCCCGACTGGGTACCTTCCGCCGACGGATGCTCCTAGTGCTTTCCGAGGACTCCAAGCACTCTGCCGGACACCATAACCACTGCAGACCCCACAAACCGCCGCAGCTTGGTTGGGGTCTCGCCGTCTCCACCCACTCTGGACCCAAGACCAGGGTCCAGCTTCCAGTAGGTCGACCTCTCTCCGAATTCCAGAGAGCAGGAACAGGAACAAGCTCTTAGCAGAGCTTAGTGATCATACCCTGGGGAGTATAGTGATTATAGCAATCCCCAGAGTGTAGTTTCTCCAATCCCCCAAACATGAGCCTAAACTTCATGAAGGTACAAGATGATCTGCTCTTTTAATGGCACATACTCTGCTTTTATGCAATTCTCCCCTGCAAGGGAGACGCCCACAGACAATTATACAATACCCAATCACACAATGGTTACATCCCACACATCTCCTCCCCTTAGCCTGAGAGGTAACCCAATTATCCATACATTTTAAAAAACACTTTTTACCCAACTTTCATAACTCCAAAACGATACATCCAATATTCAAGAAAAACTTACATATTATTAATCAGCACACTTTAAATATAAACATAACCAAAAATCATACAAATCCATCAAGTGAATAAAAAGTTAGACGGAAGTCCTTTATGACCGACCACAAGCACATTTTCCTGCCCAAAACAGTTCCATAGATTTGGTCTGTGCAGTCGGTCTATTTTACACAGAAAAATGACTAAGTCCCATTCGAATGCACAAACGGCGCCGTTCGTGCATTTGGCTTAGTATAGCAGTGAGTTCAAACTGCCGAACGGGACATAGTTTCTGCAGCTGCAAGTTCAGTGTAGGAGAAGGTACAGGTCAGCGGTGTTCGTGGAAATGTGTAGCCGATTTTAGTTCCATGAATTTGGCTACACATACCACTGACCTCGTGCAAATGAGCAAAGATGGCAGCCGCCACGTGTTGGTTTGCACAAACTGCGGCCACCCAGCGGTCGGCAATTTACCTACAGCAGGCTCCCAGCCTGGGAGGTAAATCGCCTGCACACTTCCACTTCTTGGTGGTCCACCTGTGTGGTACCTGCTTCAGTAAGCCCCATTTACTGAACCAAGGGGAGAAAGCCATAGACAAAGTATTTTAACGGTCTGGGGACATAGTCTTAAAGGGGCATTGTCACACAAAGTCTCAATATATCCCCAGACGGTTCTTAAAGGGCCAGCATGGTCCAATACAAGTCCATAAACCACAATGCAGTTCTTAAAGGGCCAGCAGCAGCATCATATAAATCCATTAGCCCAAATAATGTTTGTAAAGTGCCATACAACTCAGGGCCGTATTCATAAGGCAGGAGGCTAGCACTCAGGCTCCTCCAACAGCCAGGGGCAAAGGGCAATTTGTCACCTAAAAATCCAGTGACAAAAGGCATTTCGTCACACATCTCTCCTTTGGGGGGGAGACTAACCAGGTACCTGACCTGTTGGTTAGTGCCTGAGTTAGTCGATAAACCCACCCACAGTGAACAAGTACATGAGTAGCCCACCCTCAACACACATTTACTGCACCTGGGTATTTCTCTGAGGTCACTGGGTAAAACGCTGTGGGAGCTTGGGGGGCAGAGGCCAAATGCGCTCTGCCCCGATGCCAGCGCTTCTGCTGGGGCAGCTGGGTTAGGCCTTTGCTGGGGAGGGGAAATAGTACTTACCCCCTCCTCCTGGTGTCCCTGCGAGGGTAGTTGGGACTCTGGACAGGCTGTCCAGCATCCCTGTACGTTGGGTGCAGAGACTACGGTCCCATCTGCACCGTCTGGGGGAGTAGGGTCTCCCCTTGGTAGGTTGTCTCTTCTCCCGGTGTAACACACTGCCGCTGGGGAGTCAAACCGACCGTTTCGACTCCCGGTAACGCTGTCTGGTGCTGGATTGCAGGAGCAACCATTTCCTCTCCCTGGAATGCTGGTTGCTTCAGGGACGAGGGACCGACAATCTCCTCTCCCTGGGATGCTGGTTGCTGCAGGGACGAGGGACCGACAATCTCCTCTCTCTGGGATGCTGGTTGCTGCAGGGACAAGGGACCGACAATCTCCTCTCCCTGGGATGCTGGTTGCTGCAGGGACGAGGGACCGACAATCTCCTCTCCCTGGGATGCTCTTTGCTGCTGGGGCTGATGTGTCTCCCACCGGCTCGTTCTGCTTGGTGTTGCAGGTCCTCGCCCACGTGGGTCTCAAGTATCCTGACAACACTTTCCAGAATATCAGGGCCAAAACACGCCAGTCGCCAGTGCATCTCCCTAAGGAACGCCTGCTCGTAGGTGAGCGCTGCCCAGGGGCTAACTCTCTCCATTCTGCTGTGGACAGGGCCGCTCTACGAATACTAGCGTTACTCTCAATTGGTAATTCCAAACGTTACCGGTGCCTCTGCGCTGCTTCTCCTTGCACTAGGACGCCATCCCCCCCGACCGGGTACACTAGGACCACCTGAATATATCCCTACGACAACTAGCAAAGGTCATCGGCCTATTGGCTGCCTTCATCCAGTTGATTTTCCCGGGCCCATTACACTACTGGGCTTTGCAGAGATTGAAAGCATCCTAGTTTAGAAGTAGCCACTCAATACAAAACACGCATTTTGCTAGACGAGGAATCCAGGGAAGAGTTGACCTGGTGACTGGCCCACATGGGATCTTGTGATAGAATTGGATGCGAGTTGGGGCGCGCGTTGCTGTCCCATATCCACCACTATTCAACTCCTGGCAAGAACTTGGGCTACAGGAACGAGACGTTCCTACCATGCAGCTTGGAACACGTGGTCCAATTGGTGCCTCGAACGGTCGGTGGATCCTATATCATCTCCTGAAAAGATGGTATTGAATTTTCTTACACACCTTTTCAAATTGGGAAAGGCCTTTCGTACCGTCAATCTATACCGGTCAGCAATCTCGGCAGGACATAACAGATTAGATAGTCTCCCAAGTGGACAAAACCAATTGATTTGCCGTCTACTCAAGGGTATTCGTTTTTC